TGGGGACGGCAGATCGCTAGAGCTTCCTCTGAGCCTGGAGGGTCCCGGCATGAGCATCGCTATGTTCTGGATTCAGGTTGTGTTCTCCACTGATTTGACTACAGAGACTGTGGCTCCTTCTCTTACTTCCCTGCAGAGCTTCACAATCTAGTCCTATTAATTAGGGGAGAATCGCAATGTGCCTATTCCTTGCACACCGAAAAGACCCTCCTGACACAACCAAAATATAGGTTTAAGGGTTAAATGAAATACCTAGCAGTGGGATTGTTCTAACCTTACAGTTTCGGCACCAGACACTTAGAAGGCCCCACAGATATTGACTGAAAGACGTAGGTACAGTATAACGAGAGCTGAGAAGAATGGAAATTACTCCTTGTTGAAGAGAATCAGAGACACGCTTTTATGGAGACAGTGTCATCTGAGCAGAGCCTTGAAGTCAGAGGGTGCCTAGTTGGGAGTGAGGGAGGAACTGCTCCCTGAAACATATTTTCCAAAAATGGGACTTCTTAACTGTTTTTAAGTTTTTATGTTGTCATGAAAGTTTTTTAAGGGAAGACGAAAATACATTGGAAAGAACATTAGGAACATAGTAGTTAAAGGGTGATACCATTTGAAGGTACAGTGAGTCCTTCAGTACCCATAAGGAATTGATTCTAGGACCGCTGCAGATACGGAGATCCAAGGATGCTCAAGTCCTCTATATAAGGGGCATAGTATTTACATGCAGCCTATGTATATCCTCTCATATACGTTTTTTTTTTTAATTGGAGTACAGTTGGTTTACAATGTTGTGCTAATTTCTGGTAAACACCATAGTGATTCATTTATACATAGGCTCTTTTTCATTATAGGCCATTACAAGGTATTGAATATAGTTCTCTGTGCTATACAGTAGGACCTTGTTATTTATCTATTTTATATATAGTAGTTAATATCTACAAATCCCAAGCTCCCAATTTATCCCTCCCCACCCCCTTTCCCCCCACCCCCTTTCCCCCTGGTCACCATAACTTTGTTTTCTAGGTCTGTGAGTCCCCTCATATACTTTAAATCATCTCTAGATTGCATATAATACCTAACACAATGCAAATGCTATGAAAATAGTTGCTGGGTGCACAGCAAATTCAAGTTTAGCTTTTGGCAACTTTCTGGAATTTAAAAATTTTCAGTCCAAGGTTAGTTGAATCCCCGAATGCGGAATCCATGGACATACAGGGCCCTCTGGATCCGCTTCTCCATAAACCCAAGGCATAGATCTTATACCTGATTCTCTACTCCACCCCCATTAGAACCTGCTTCACTCGTGTTTGAGGATTAGGGAGGATTCAGACAAAATAAGAATTCCAGGCAGCAGACAAATTCTTAGTGGCAGCAAAAGTAGGGAAGGAAGGAAATTTGGCTTCAAGTAAAGCACCTGAAGGAAGATACTAATGGGAAACGAAGGTAGAAAAGTAGCCTCACATTTGAACTTGAGTCTGTAAGTATTTGTGCTGTAGGTGTTTATGATTTCTGAAGAAGGAAGGGATGTCAGCACTGTGCCTGAAGAGGATTAATCTGAAAATAGCATATGAAGTGGCATTAAAGAGGGGAAACCATAGTGAGGGTGGGGTTGGGACTAGCTAAGAACCCAGCACAAAAGTCCAGGTGAGGCAATGTGGGTTACTGTCATTGTAAAAGTACATACTTTACAGTGTCACTATTTACTATCTGTGTATGTATCTTGCATTTATATGCATCCTCATTATTTATTTAGTACAGCTCTTTATGGTAAGCCAGTACCACAGCGATACTGCACATCTTTCTTTAATTTATAGCAATAGGATGGCATGCAAGATGCAAAATTCTCTAGCAGCTTGTTTCTTCAACAGCACATAAGGAATAATAAAAACCACTCCACACACTGTTTACTATTTTGGGTAGAGATGTTACTGAAACCTACCCAGTCCCAAATTCTTTTACAAAGTGATGCTTTTTAAAAAAATTTATTCTCAAATGCTCTGAGAAGTCTTAGATTTGAAAGAAAACCAAAAGCAATCTACCTTTGAATATTGAGTTCATATCTTAATGTTGCAATGCGTAACATCACACCTTTTAGAATTCGATAAACTCACATTTCACCCTGTGAACTTACGTGCATCTCAGCAGCCTGCCTCTAACCATCTGAAAGCAAGCTCACCATGAATGGTTTTCAAGTGTTCTACTCGAGAAATATTTGAAAAAGATGGCCCAGCAGTATATAGATAATGGCATCAAAGCTTTTCTTTTCTTTCTTCTTTTTCTTTACTTTGCAGGACTTCTGATTTCCCTTAGAAAAAGAATGATTCTCAGTCTTTTTCTCTCTGAGGCACAAATGATGGAAGATAATCACAGTCATCATACACTCCCATGGGAACTAGCTGCACCTCCTACTCAAGAAAGCGTCAGAGAATTCAAGTCAGCTTGGGAAGCTTGCGCTAAGGATAACCTTGAACATGAATTAAATGTTTTAAAGCCAGCCAACTCGAGTATGAGATACTCTAATATTAGTTACAAATGACTTGTAGATATTCACACAACTAAATCATCTCAACGCCTTGCTTGGTTGACAGCTGCGAGCCTAGATGATGTTCTCACCGGCAAGCGTTACTCCACGTGGGTTAAGTACACACACGACACACTCCCCCGCCATCTGTATGCATCCACCTTCCCAGTCTTAACTAGACATAGACTCTCACAGTTTTTCATTTTTTTCTCTGTTTTCTAAACTTTCCTGTTTCAAACTCTATCAACAATTACCTACAATGGCATAGAATTTGCTCTTTGATTTTATCTGTAAATATATTTAATCACAACAGATTTTCACTTTGAAAATTAGATTGGTTATGGAGGGTTCATTTTGATTTTTTTTCCCATGACATTAACTTCAGGCTAATAAGTATTCTAAGCCGGAAAGAGAAAACAAGAAGTATTTGACATGTTCAAAGGTAAAATCCCTTCTCTCATCTAAAATCATGAGGAAGAGGGGAGGGTATAGTTAGGGGGGAGGGTACAGCTTAAGTGGTAGAGCACATGCTTAGCATGCATGAGGTCCTGGGTTCAATCCTCGGTACCTCCTCTAAAAATAAATAAATAAGTAAACCTAATTACCTCCCCACCACCAAAATAAAAAAATTTAAAATCATGAGAATTTGCACTCTCCTCACAATTTTATCTGTTAATAGAACATATTTGGGTAGACCTACTATTAACTTTAAAATACAAGCCAGGAGAAACAATTGACTGGAGTGTCCATTAGTCTTTGTTTGTTGATGTAATAGCTTACTTCAGAATGGTTTTCTGGAAATACATATTTATTATATTTTAGTATATTTTTGTGGTTGACCACATTCTTATCATTCTGACACATGTCAAAGTTCATTTTAGGATCTCTTTATTTTTTTATTCAACAGATTTTTTGAGTGTCTACTCTCTGTTCTGGTGATGGAAATTCAACAATGATTAGAATAGACACAAATCCTAGCTCATGTATAGCATAGTTCCTAGTCGGGGAAAGAAAGACCGTGATCAAATAAGTAAGTGAAACATATTGTGTGACAGATGGCAATAAGTTCTATAGAAAAAAGAAATGCAGATAAGAGGAGAGAGAGTTCTGGAGTGGAAGTTGCAGTTTTAAATAAGGTGGACAGGGACCTCTCTGAGAAACTGGCCTTTCAGCAAAGACCTGCAGGAAGTGAGGGAGTGAATTATGGGGTTGTTTGAGGGAAGGAGCCTGCCAGGTAGTAGGAACAGCAAGTGCCAAAGCCCTGAGGTGAGCGCCTGCTGGTCTGCCCAGGGAGGAGGATGTGCCATTAGGAAGGTAATGGGGTCTCTTGTGGACATTTTGAGGGTTTTGCTCTTGAATGAGATGGAAAGCTACTGGAGGTTTTTAAACAGAGGAATGACAAGATCTTAATTGTGACTGACTTGAACATCAGTGGATGGGATAAAATATGAGTCTGGAGTCACTTTAGTGATGACTTCTAGAGAGCCAAGGTGTTTCATGGAGCTGGGCAAAGATTTAGTGTCTGAGGATTTTCATAATTTTGGTATTTTTTCGGGAAGTCAGGAAGGAAGGAAGGAAGAGAAAGAAAAGGGGGAGCGGGTAAAAAGGAAGAGAGAAAAAGAAATCAAGTATTGTTGAGACACTGAGAGTAGAAACTTTCATTATAACCACAGTATCCATACTCCTGACAAACCTGGTAAATTAAAACAATATGGGGAATATATAGTGCTCTCATAGTCACAATAAATAGATGATAAATGCTTTGTTTTTGCTCACAACTTTCCTTCAAGCCAGGACAAGCCCTTCTACCCAGTTTGTTAGTTAAACTGTCTGCAAAATGTCCAGAAATTATATTTGAAAACATTTCCTTGGCGTCTTGGGATGTTCAGTTAATTAATGTCTTGTAAACTGCTTCAGGATCCTCAAGAACACAAAACCACCCTAAAAACAAGAGTTTTCGATTATTGCAAGGAAGGACATGACTGGGGGCATCTGTTTTACCTTTGTATATGTTACAAAATATACAAATCTGTATATACCATTGGCGATAATTTCTCCCACATACCATTATCAATAGAAGCTGTTTAATAGTGACTCGGAGAGCCAATTCTGAGAAGTAAAAGAATCATTTTGGAAACGCTAACAACGGCATTGGTCTTCATTAAACTGTGGCCCTGTTTAACTAGCAAAAAAAAAATTAACAAAGAGCTCTTTTGAACAGCAGTTATCAAATGTGATCCAGTTATCCCTGGAGATTCTGAGACCTTTTTTAGGAGTTCTGCAGGGTCAAACCTATATTCATAATAATACGAAGACGTTAATTTCTGTTTTCACTTTCATTTCTCTTATGAGTTTATAGTGACGTTTTCTAGATTCTAAGTGTGATGTCTAAGCAGACAGAATGCAGGAACAGATACGATCTAGTTTCTTTTATTAAGCCACACATTCAGGAGATTTGCAAATATGTTAAAAAAAATGCTACTCTTCTCGCTGCTTTTAAAAAGATAGTTTTTTTCACTGGATACTTGACAAGGCAAATAATCTTCCATGGAGACTAGAAGAATTTAGGGGAAAAAAAAGTGATTTGCTTCTTTCAACTGAGGACATATGGAGACTGAATTAGACACCTGGTCCCAAAAGGTTAATAATGCCCCTAGATTCCAGAATGTTAAATTGACCTGCACAAGTAAAGCTCTGTTGAATGCACGTTACCACAAATGGAATAGAAGCAGCTCACAACGTGTCTAATGACTGTGATTAAGGAGAGATGGAAACTAGGAAAATCAGGCTTGTAATCTACAGGTTGTCCAATGAGCACCTCCATGGGGAATTAGAAGGAAGCAGTTTTAAAAAATATTTCTGATATCTAATTTTCTTTAAAGCAAAACAAGCATTAAGTGAAGTACTATTGCATTAGGTAGACAGAAACAGAAGTAAGACACTTAAATTGACTTGCAAAGACCTCACTTAGAATGGATTATTAGTTCTTTTATTCTCTTTACAGCAAATTATCAGCAAATCTGTATTGACTACTGTGTGCTAAGCTCTCCTTGGGCGTTGAGGATTCGGGAGCGGGGAGGGGTCCCTGTCTCATGAAATTTATATTTCAGGGGAGGAACAGACAAGCAAATGAATGACCAAGATAATATCAGATGTAATATGTGCTAAGTAAAGGAATAAAACAGGCCACTGTGCTAAACGGGGACTAGCTGAAGGGTAGAAGTAAGAGACCAGGGTGGGGAGTGCTGATTTGGGCTGGGTGTTGGGGAATCTCTCGCTGATTTGTTGGTGTTAAGCTGCCACCTGGGAGAAAGGAAGAGGCCAGAGAGCAGGAGAAGGCAGGTACCAGGCCCTGTGGAGGGAATGAGTCTGACACCTACCTACGGGGAAGAAAAAGGTGACAAATCTAGTTGGGGGGTAGGGCAGCTGGAGCCTAGTGAAGAGAAAGGTCACGGGTGGTGTGATTCAAAGGAGGTAAAAACGACCTCATGAAACGCTTGAAAGAGTTTCACTTTTCTTCTGAGTGTGATGAAAAGTCTTTGGAGAGCATGATCTGGTCACATGATTCAATGTGCATTTTGAAAAGATTCAGCCTGGTGGCTCTGCTATGGGAAATGATTGCAGAGGAGCAAGAGCAGAAGCCAGGAAACCCGTTAGCTGATGACTGTTCCCCGGGGCGGGGGAGCAGAGGATGGTGGCTTGGACTGCAGTGGTTGCAGTGAGGAAGAGGAGAGTGGACAGATACGGGGCAGATGTGTTCTTTGTCTGAAAGAGTGTCTAAAACTTGTCTGGCTCAGACGAGGAGTTTAGCAAATGGTAGCCACTATGTCCTTGCTGCGTTCTTGAGCTCGAAGCTGGCAGAGATGCACGAATTTGTTCTCATTCACAGGACTAGTGAATTCAGCCAATGCCCCATTCCCACTGTCACTGGGTACTCTTAAACCGTCCACAAAACACCTGACCTGAGGTCTTTTTACCTCTCAATCTTTTCTGCATTTAGCTGCCATTCTGATCTTCCTCAGACACAGCTTTCATCATGTTTACCTTGCTGATAAGAGCATTATATGTATTCATGTAGTTACTGAGTAATTGCAGTGAACGAGGCTTGTTGGGGTGGGTGGGGTTCACACACCTAAGATTATTTCTTGCCTCTGGGGTTTTAGAATTTACTTGGGGAGATATGATTAACCCATACGAAATAATAGATCTAAAAGAGATGGCATCATTAAGGAAGCTTTCAAAAAGGAGGCGAGACTTGTTCTAGATCTTAAAAGAGGTTAGTAAATTCTAGCAAAGATGCCCACTGAAAAAAAGGAGCAAGGGCATAACAGCCTAGTGTTGTGGCACAGAGAGGAGATTTCCTAGTGTTGTGGCACAGAGAGGAGATTTGCTTGCGGAGAGGAAAACGTCTGCTTTGGGAAAATGTGGGGGACAAAGTCACGGGGCAGGATGGTGCCAGGGCAGGGTGGTGCCGGGTCACGGGTGCCGTCAAAAGTTAGGCACCAAGGATTTGGATTTGATGCAGTTGGATATAAAGAGTTATTAAAGATTTATAAGCAAGATTCAGTCTTAGGGAAGGCTTAGCTGGGGCCAGTGATCATCCCCCCCTCTAATTTTCAAAGTAATTATCAGTGTCTTTAGGTGCTCATTAGAAACTTGGCTTGTAACTCTGCACTTTTCAAATATATAATCTGTATGCGTGCAGCCTCTATGGAGTAGGTACAGAGTAAATGTTTGATGATGACAAAAGACCTGTGTAAGGAAGAGTCATTTGGCAATGGCATATGACCTGAACTGAAAAGAAGAAAACCAGGAGGTAGGGAAATCCCAAGGAGGCTGTTCTAGTAACGCAGGTGTGAAGGAGCAGGCTAGAAGAGGCAGATGTGAGAAAATACTTAGGAAGTATCACTAAAAGGAGCTTGCATGTGGAGTGGGTTAAACATTTAAGTTTTCAAATCAGAATGTTTTGAAGGGTCATGATGCCACGGTGGGGGGTGGTGAGATGGGAAAAAAATTGGGAGAGGGAATTAGTTTGGGGGAATAAGATGGGGCATTTGGGTTTGGATGGGCACTTGAGATGATGACTGGATATCTGTTTAGAAATGGTCTGGGAAATTAGCAAGAGGAG